TTAAGTGGAGAGCAAATGTTTTGAGAATGACGAGGACAATGAATGTACAAATGTGCTTTACACAATTGATATATGTATAGATTGTGATAAGAGTCGTATGAACCTCTAATAAAATGATTAAAAAAAATAACCACCCAAGGTACAATAATTGTTCTCTGTAGCTGAAGCACCAGAGAAAGGAGAATCAGAAATAAGAGGACTGTATAGGATATGTGGCCAATTGCCTCCATGAAAAACTGCTTCTTTTATCATAAGGATGGATGTGCTGGATGGTGGTCAACTACTATTTCTGAACATTTTGAATGGAAATCTCATAGAAGAATCAGGAGCAAAGAGAGGAAAATGCATAATAGGATTTAAATTCTCAAGTACTAAATTGTAGTATTAAATTAAATGTTGGAAGGGAGGTAGGGGACCAGCCCCACCCGCTGCTACTACTACTACCCACGGGTTCAGTAATGCACAATTATACGGTTGAGATATATAAGTATTATATTAAAGTCATTGAGAGCATAAGAGATATTACAATAATGCAGTCAGACACATTACATGGTAGCATTGCTCACCTCAGCCCAGCTTGGTGGTCCACGTGGAGAGAGGGGGAAGGGAAGGAGGGCAAGGGAACAAGTGAGAGGGGACAGGAGAGGAGAGGGGGAAGAGAAGGGAGCCAGAGAGAGAGAGGTCAGCGCGCTCTATATCGCTGACCCAGGCCTATATATCTTTTAGGGGTATGCCAGCCCACTAATTATAGGAGAGACATATGTCACAGGGAGGGGCTGCACTATAGGTTACACAGCAAAGAGGGGGTGGTCTAAGGGGTGGTCTCTGGGTCTCCAGTAGGGTGAAAACTCCACCCACAGGAGCCTGTCCATTGTCCCCAGAGGCAGGGAGCAGGCCCACCCTTGTGGTGGGATGAGACAGCAGTCTGGCAACTGATTGCCCTCAGGGGAAGGAATGCCTGCACATCTGACCTCCCCCCACACTAAATATTATCTGGAATCATGGAGGGTAAAAGAACTCCTGAACCTATGAACTTGAGGTACTCCTTAAACCTTGAATCAAAAATATTTCCTGAAGTCTTCCTAAGGCCAAATAATACTTCAAATTACCTGATTAAACAAAGAAAAGGTCTCGTCTATTATGCTCTTTTAAGAACGATCTCTAATGGACCAACTTGAAAAGATTAAGGAGCAGTGAGTTTATGTAAATGAGATAGGAACAACTAAGAAAAGATGGGTGAGAATGATTGCACAACTTAAAATGTAATCATGTAATTAAATTATATATGAAAATATACAATTTATGTATGTTTTCTGTATAAAATATTAAAAATGGGCCAGTGATGGATATCGTGTCTCATAGTGGGGCCAGCCATATGGTCTCCTCTGTGGATTGGCTGCTCTGAGCGGGGATATCATCCTCAAGGCTTGGTGGGCCACTGACCCATAGACCTACAGGGGACATCATTGGAGACACAGTGTGGGAATTGCGCCACATCTGATCCCACCACATCAAAGCAAAACACTAAGGGCGTGCAACAGAACAGCAAGGGGAACAGAGCAAGACGTCCCCAGGATACACCAAAAATAGACGTTGGGCCAGGGCGTGGCACCCATCAGACTGGACCAGAAAATACTCATAAAGGCCAACAAACAGTCCTTGAAATAATTACAGGCTGTGCTTTTTGTTGTTGTTGTTGTTTGTCATTGGTTTTGTTGTTGTTGTTTTGTTTTGCTCTGTCTTGCTTTTGGCCATGTTATTGTCTCCGCAGATCTGTCTAAATAAGATAGGCTGGGTGAACAATCTGGAGGAGGAAATAATGGGACCTACAGTTCTGGGGAGGGGGACATGGGAGCGGGGGCGATAGGGGGAAAGGAAGTACTGTTAACAAACCCAGGGAGAAGGTCACAACTTATCCAAAATCGGTGGTGAAGAGGGTATAGGAGGCCTGGTAGGGCTTGATCAAGGGCAATGTAACCAAGAGGAATTACTGAAACCCAAATGAAGGCTGAGCATGATAGTGGGATAAGAGGAAAGTAAAAGGAAATAGAGGAAAGAACTAGGAGGC